AATCAAAGTCAAATTAGGATTAGCAAAGTCCAAGTTATGGTAAAATCAGTATATGGTTGATAGAGTCCAAAAAGAAGTTAAAAGAAATCCAAGAAGAAGATCACGATTCGGACTTGAAGAAGTTGAAATCGAGTAGGATGCAATTTCGCTAGCATGTCGCCCAATCGGCACTCGAGCAACTAAAGCAGAATCGTCGTCGCTTGTCTAGCACTAGACTAGCACTCAAGCGATGGGTGTGTCGCTTGCCGGGTCGACGTTCAGAATCCTGATTGCTTTAAAACATGTGATTTTCATCCCTATTTCGATCCAACACTTTCCCCTGTATGTACTCTATCTTATGAACGTTCCAAAATGTGTTAAATCAAATTTATTCCATAGAGATCAATTTTTTGATAATCCAAAACATAAATTGATTTCAAAATTCAACTACCACATATTATTTGATCCATAAATTCTTCTAAAACATACTTTGTTGATCAAGTCATATTGTTTCATATTAAACGACATATCAAAACACACAAGATCTTTTTTTCAAACACCAAACTACTTAATCCGCCAGAAATAAATCGATACTAGGGATCAGGAGCCGTTGCAGAAGCACAAATTCAGGAAGACTAAAGTGAGGTACCAGAAGTCGAGATCTGTTGTCAAAAACACGCAGTCTAGAAGGGCTAATATTCAGGAGTCAAATTTTGTTTTGAAGGAACGCGCCTCTAGTAGGATCAAGGCAGACTGCAGGAATTGAGGTCAGAAGTTCTACGGGGTAGACGGATCTAGACTATATGTAAGTTTACTTCGATTTATAGTGGATTACTGACTGTCAAAGTTTGCTTCTAATTATGTAATTTCACACGTTGGATCTAAATAAATCGGTTAGTTTAAAACTTTCAATAGTTGCTCTTTTTTTTTTTTTGATTTATACTTCCAAAATTTCTTGAGATTGTTGTATCATTTTCTATATAGTGGGTTATTTATCCATGGCATGAAGTACGTTGATGTTTTCCTTGTAGCTCTTTGGTCATCAAGTAGGCAATTTCTTTGTCGCACACATCTTATCTGTTCACTTATTGTGCTTCGAAAATTTCATCTACTTGAGTGACTCAACAAAGACAAAATTTTAGTTTAGTTCGATCCATACTTCAAAAACATCGAATGTTTCATAGTCATAAACATATCCATAAATATATATCCATAATCGAGCAACTTTGAGTGACTTAACAAACTGACGTCGGTGAAACTTTGATTTTTCACTATAGGAATGAAAGTAAGTTTGAGTAAACATTTTAACACGAAATTAATATTTTAATTCGAGGATTTGGTCTCATCAAAATTATATATTTATATAAAATTTACACCTGTCATACAATCGAATATACACAATTTAAATTTAAACATACACATAAAATTTCATTTTTTTCAAAAGGATATCTTATTCCCAATAGTCGATCATCGCTAACCTTTTGTTTACGAATTTGTAATATTTTCGCAACATAAATTATAAAATGCCCAATGTTCTTCCCCCAGTATTGTGCCACTGGTTTTAATGGGCCAGTGGTTTCTTCTTCCATTTAGATTTATCCCACGTTTGTTTTTTTCCAACATTGATGGCTTTTGTCTCCATCTACAATTGGATGTTGTTAAATTTAATGTACGAGGCCAAGATAAAATTATTGGTACATGCATGCATACAGTAAATGTGTTTTTATCAGTATCCAGTTTATGTCTGTTGCCTTCTTTCCATAAGCAAAAATACAACTTTTCTGCTCATCTACTGGAAAAGAAATTGATGAGTTTTAAAGAAATTTTAAGGCTGCTTGGTTATTTTTTTGGGGTACTTACAAAAATACCCTTAAAATAAGGGATGTTTTGAAAAATTATATGAAATATTTTTAGGAAGTAAAAAATACTGTGTAAAATGAAAAAGTGACACAATATCACTTTTTTTATAAAAATTGTCACTTTTTTACTTTTTTTTTTTTAAAAAAGTGACAAACTCAAAAAAGTGACAAAATTAAAAAAAAGTAACTCTTAAAAAATTATACAAACTCAAAAAAGTGACACTTAAAAAAAGTGACAAATACCAAAATAGCATCATCCATTTATGCTGCACTAGTAATCATGTTCTTAAAATAATCAGCATATCCAGGTCAATCCACATGCTGATTATGTTAGGAAAATATAACATATTATTTCACTTTTTTTATTTTCTTGAAAAGTGACAAAAACTTTAAAAAGTGACAAAATTTCTACAGTAAATCAATTCTTATTTTCAACCACACATTCTTCAATAAAATAATATTTTCCGTCACATCAATAATTTTTTCTTCTTTTTCAACCACACATTTCCCATCATATCACTATTCAAAATTAATTTTCCCCCCAAAAATCTCTCACAAACAAGCTCTAAGAATGTTTGTAAAACGGGAATCAAGGTTAGGCAACCAAGAAAACAATATATTCTCCATCAATTTTTGTGACTTTCTATCATTTTTTTTGGGATATTTATCACTTTATTGAATAGCTTCCAAATCTAAGTTTATATGATAGTTAATAAATTTACTTTATTGAATATTTGTCACTTTTCACTTACTATCACTTTGTTTAGGATATAAAAGTGATAGAATGCCATTTTTTCATATTCCAATTACAACAAACACCATGGATGTATCAAATGAATTGAATCAAGGAATTATAAATTGAATGCAAGATAAAACAAGGTTTGAATTCTCATATTTAAAATTTCAAAAACACACCCATATATATCTAGTTAATTGCTCTAATAAGATACTGCAACTTTTTTAGGAAAAAGTGACAAAATATCATTTTTCACATTCTCATTTTTGCAAACACCTTGAATGTATCAATTGAATCCAGGAGCAGCATCTCCAACCCACGAGCCAATGTTTCCACCATCTCTACAATCTTAATTGTAAACCTCACTACCTTTAAACACCTCAGCCATAACAACCTTTGAACAACAACATGCATAAAGAAAAATTCAATTAATAGTAAATAGTTTTCTTGATTTGTTTTTATACATTAGTAAGAAAAAGAAGAAATGTAGAATTGTTAGGTCTTTGTTATTGGTTTTCGCTTCAACAAAATAATCAATCATTACACCATACAAACATATAATACAATCAAAATATTAATTTAATTGCTTCATGATTTCTTGGCTTCTGGACGTATAATCCCATTCACTATACTAGTGTCAATCAAAACTCCAATCGCCTCCACTCCGGCCTGTGCCAACCCTCCAAAGTTGACCGCCGTTGTGATCTCCTTATCCGCCGCCTCTATCCCCACTTCTACTCCCTTCTCTCCCACTTCTATTCTTTTTTCTATAGCCACGATTACCTTCTCAGCCGTGTCGAATCCTTCCTTCACCAGCTCTAAAATGTATTAATCAAATTAATCAATATTTTAGGGAATGCTAAATGAAACATTATACCAAGATCCTACATAGCAATTTTTCCATTTTTGCAACAATGGC